TTGAGTCATTGTATGTTGACTTTGAGAGTAATGGTTTAGATTTTGGTGAACTCCAAGTGGTTCCCCGCGATTTTTCTAGAGGAGGATTTTCTGAGTTAACAAATCACTTGTGTTCTTTATTACTTATGCTTATTTGTGATTGTTTGCACACAAGGCACTATGTGTTTGTATGAATGATTGGGTTTTGGGTTTGGGTCACCATGAGATTGAGTGTTTGAGCAAATTAATTGATTATTAACTAACATCAATCTTCATGGGTGCAAGAGTTTATGGTGATTAAAAGGGGTTCTCGCACTAAATTGTTATATCTTTGTTATGAAGAGGTAATTGAGGTAGAGTTAGGTTTTAATTTATAATTGATTGTTCTTAAAATCGAAAAAAACCTATTCACCCCTCTAGGTATTGTCATGCGCTCCACGTGTATAATTATGATGGAAGATCTACATCGTTTCTCCTCCCTCCCGAAACAACAACTCCCTTATCAACACAAATGGAATTCAAAAGACTCCTCAAGTGCTTAGAGTCTTCTCCACCTACAATAACAAATTGAGAGTCTAAACTCCTCAACCAAAAGGAGTTTAACCTCCTCATAGTGGATAAGGGAGCCTAGAGTCCACTCCCCTACAAAAACTGACTTACAACTATAAAAAGGAGCCCAAAGGAAATGCCCAAGGTATGCAACTCTATCCCTAAACATTTCCCTTCAGCTTTCACTAGTTACCGACATAAGCATTAGAGGGTCAACCACTAGAGCTCCCCCTCTGATATCCGACTTCTTTTCAGGTCTTTCGGCACTTCGAAAACCTTGCTTAGAGCCTCAGAGAGTTCATCAAAACAACCATAAAGTTGACACAAAGGCGAACAAAGTCTACCCTAGCCTACGTAGAGGTTGGGGCAAATTTTGCACCAAAAAATATCAACCTGTGGTGAAGATACATTACACAAGCATTCCAAACAATGAATTTCCTGCATTTAAGAGAATTTTTCCTGGCATTTAATGCTCTGAAGGTGGGATTCATTAAAGGTTGTAGACCTTTCGTGGGTTTAGATGGTTGCCATTTAAAGGGACCATATGGGGGTTTCTTATTATCTGCTTTTTCTCTTGATGGAAATGGAGGAATTTATGCTGTTGTTATTGTTGTGGTTGAATTGAATGAAGGGACAGCTAGGGTTTCTTCTTCACCTGTTTGAGTGAGTTTCTAGGTGGATTTTCTGATGACAAGCCTTGGACTTTTATGAGTGATAGACAGAAAGGAATAAAATAAGGTGTCAACCAACTAGTACCAAAAGCTACATATAGGTTTTGTGCTAGGCATATATATCATGACTTCAGGAAATTGTGTTCAGGACAACTGCTTATGTCTTTTTCTGGAAGGTGGCAAGATCCTATGATGTGCATCATTTCAACACTGCAATGGAAAGGATAAAAGAATAGCAGCCTGTTGCACATGATTGGTTGGAGAAGATACCAAGATAAATATGCGCAAGACATACATTTGGTCCACAACTTAATAATGACCACATCACAAATATCTGTTTGAATTATTCAACAGTTGATAGAAGACATCAGAGATCAACTAATTTTCACCTGACATGATTGACTTAGGGCAAGGGTAATGAGCAAGCACCAAAGAAGGTAAGAGAAAGCATGCATGTGGGATTCTTCGGTGAATCCTATTGTTTTGAAGAAGTTGAATGCAATTGTTACTGTATCTAGGAAGTGTAACATGTAACTGGCTAGTGAGGATGAGTTTGAGGTGATGGATACGAATAATGTTCACTACATTTGCAACTTGAGAAATAGGACTTGTGACTCTAGAGTTTGGGAGATTAGTGGGATACCCTGTGGGCACGAAGCCCTAGGAATTGCTTACAGGAGGCAAAAATTGGAGGATTCCGGTGACCCTTTCTTCTCAAAGGAAAAATACTTCAGTGCATACTATGAGATTATCCATCTCATTCCAAATTTGACTATGTGGACAAGGTAGGAAGTATTTCCTGAAAAACTCCACCCTCCTCCCCTTGGAAGGATTCCAGGTAGGCCAAAGAGGAACAAAAAGAGAGAACCAGGGGAGGCAAGTTGTTCCACTGCATAGAAAAGATCTTCTACTGTGAAATGTGTGTTGTGTAAACAATTTGGTCACAACAAAAGGACCTATCAAAGAGGCACTGTCAAGAAGAACAAGGCTGGAAACAAAGGCCAAGCAACAGAAATGGTTGGAAATTATACTTGTTTTATGCATATTTACATTATGTGTGATAAACATGGATAATTATTTGTTAGTACTTGACACAAAATGGTGATGGAGATGTGAATGATGAAGGGCAGGATACTAGAAATTAGAATTCTACGTATGGGGCTGTTGTGGATGGTTCAAGGGTGGTGAGTGCTGTCTTATTTTCTTTTGTTTGGTTCTTATTATTTTATTTTGTTTGGTTCTTAACCCATGTATCTGAAGAATATTTCTGATACAACCCATTTTCTGTAACTGACAAAGGCAGAATCTTGAACTTGAACCTACTATCTCTAAGATGTTTGATTCTACAAAAGGCTTACAACTGTTGGGTTCTGCAAGAGCCAGGAAGGTTGCTAGGGTTGCTACTGCTAATGGAAATAGTGAATCTGTTTCTCCTGTTGTTACTGTTGCTACTGCTGAAAAGGTTGCTATTGTTGGTGGGAATATTGGATCTGCTCTACTGATGCTACTGCTACTGGAAATACTGAATTTGTCACTGTTGCAAGAAATACGGGTTCTTTCTCTGCTTTTGGTGAGTCTTCTACTAGTGACGCTTAGAAGGATAGTGGGGTTATTTTTCCAACTCTGATAAGCTTTTGTTATTAGTACGCTGAAATATTTTGTTATTTTTAAGCAAGTATGAGGACAGTTTAAAAACTTCTGTACTAGGGTATATGGTGAACTGCTCATGAGAGTTGTTTTTGTTTTTGCCGTATGAGCAACATATGAACAAATGCAAAGGTCTAGAAACATGTCTCTGCATTAAGGAGTACAATATTGTAGACACATGTTGCAATTTATGGTATGTAATGTAAATGGTTTTGTCCACACAATACATGCAATACAAAGCCAGTTCATTATCATTACATCGAACACTTGTTTCACATTAGCATAATCAAGATGACAAATAAAAACAACATAACCATGAAAAAGTTAACATACATCAGCTTGGCTTCTACAAATTGCATGCGTCCTTCTAAGGATCTTATGTTCAATCCTTGGTTACAATCTAACACTTGATTGTAACCATATTGGTCCTCCTTTGAAGTAGGGGTTAGCATCCACCATTCAAAAAATCCATAATCCAAGCAATTGAAATACAATCTTCCTAGCATTTGAGAAGATTCAAATATTCGCACTATGGTCTTCCTTCCGCATCTGCACCTTTTATTTTTGAACCTTAATTGACAATCATTATTGTTGTTATGTGACGAAGCCATTCATTAGCCTTTGCTTGTCCTTCCCTTCTTTGATCAACCTTTTTCATATACACCAACACCTCAATCTCAACATCATGGTTGACCTTTAAATAGTGTCAAGTGTAGCAAAACTAGCCGTTAGTCATTTGCAATCATAGGCATTGTAATATGTAAATTTTAGCGAAAGTTTCACTTTTTACCACTACCTCACTTGTAGTTTGTAAAGTTTGTTGGCTTTTCCAATGAACTTGGGGTTGAGGCCCACAAGGGCAATTTTAGAATTTCATAATTAAGTTCTTATCTCATCAAAAGATTGACGTCCCTATAATGGTCGGTTAACGATTAAGAGAATTTGTGACAACAATAGAAGATGGGAGATTAATGTTATTTTTAAAACAATAAGGGGTCTAATTATTATTTGATCAAATTTTACCTAAGGCGGATGCAATCTTCCCAAAAATTATAAAAACTTAGTGCACCTAGCTCTCATTACTATGAGATTTGAGAAAAGGTAGACATATATAATTTTGTCTCGGCTGTACATCTTTTCTTTGAAACATTCTCTCTCAATTTGGTGAAAATTTATCTTCTTTATTTCATATGTTTCTCCAAAATGATGGGACTACTCCCGAAAACGTGTCAATACCTATGTTGTGCAGAGCTGAGCATCCCCTACTCACTGGGAGAAAGCTTTCCCTCATCAGGGTTAACTATTTGTCAAATGGTAACATGGATAAGGGCCTATCAACTATATCTAGGAACATGTCCCTATCCGACCTTATTATGAGCACACCCTTCAGTGTAGTTAATCCCTTCTTCCTCATCTAGGAAAATCTTATCCCAGCACCACATTATTCCAAACTCCCGCTAAGTATAATATTACTGAATTTAGATAGTTTGATTTGGGAACTAGATAAAATTTAGTATTTGATAACATTTCTTGTGCTTAAATGCTGGACAATATTATAGAAACTTCCTGTTTGGAATCGAAAATTACTCTGACCTAACCCTAGAATTTCGTAGAAAGGGGGAGGCAAAGACTGACCTGCCAGCATCCTTCGTGTCTATCAACCCCCTCGTTCCAGATGCTGAAATATATCAATGGACAGCTAAAATATTCATAACCATACTACTAACTGGCCTTAAGATAACAATGGTAACTCATGTAAGTTTTAGATCCCTAATTGCCGTATTAACATTTGGTTGCTGTGGTAATAACCTGCTCATCAATATTCAAAATCCACAATACAGGGGATTTCAAATATATAGTTTTGTTATCATCCCATCAACGCCATAACTGCCTTGAAACTCATTCTGTTATATCAAAATCTATGCTATACAATCAAGACTCGTATTTCTCACAGATCCAAATGATCTATACATATATTGTTTGTATACACATTCGAGTTAGAGAATCCGTATAAAATTCTAAGGGGGAAAAATCTCAGGCCTATAGCGCGCTCTTGCCAAATGGTTCGGGGTAGAAGTATTGATTGACAATGAATAACACTTGGAACCAGAAGAAACCATGTAGTTTTGGTGAGCAAAAACACCACAGCCTGAGTTATCTTTCAGATAAGACGGAGGCACTCCAGGAAAGCATGACATCCCGGGCAACAGATGGGAAGTCTGCAAGTTCAATAAGCCCCGTCATGATTTCGAAGAAGCATACAAGATTTGTCTTATATAGGAAAAACAATTAATAAGTTGCTCATGCACGTAAGTTCCATGAAATTTTACCTCGTGCCACCTCAATAGCCATTGATGGTATGTCTATTTGGTCTTCAAGCAATTTATATACATCAACAAGCTAAAAGAGAAAAAGAAAAGCAAATTTTGTTACAATTTCATCACTACCACATAATTGAGATACCTATGAGATATTACATACCTCTTGAATGTGAAGCTTGGAGTCTTCAGTGAAAGCAAGAAGCAGCTGCCTGCGAATTCCTTCATCAACTAGGAAAAGGCGAGCTCCATCCTTGATGGTGTCTGTGAGGTCCAATTTCTTCTGAACCTGCCAGCCACTGGATCTTCGCCTGTTCCAAGGGAGAGTCCAATTGCAAATTCAGTTTTTTTGGGCTTTTAGAATTGCCAAAAGAATGAAAAAGAAATCTAGTAAGCAACTATGAAAAAATACAGACATGATCTTCCCTTGCAATGCAGGGTTGCTGCTCATCTTTGCCACATTTTCTTTTGCCAGAACAATTAGGTTCTCAAGCCGTTTCCACTGGAAAACACCATCTTTAAACAGAACCTAACGAATGAAACAGATAATTAAAAAATCACATGTTCAGGAACCTAATTTGAATGTGCCAGTTACTGCGTTTCATGACATATATAAGACAACTTTCCATGTGTCAATCTAATAAATGAGTTGCAGTGAATCACTATCTGACATAACTTACTTGAGCTGATTACCAAGGCAACAGCTTAACCAAACTCGAATGGATTTGCTAACCCAAAGAACAGTTCACCTAGACTAAATTGAGAGACAGCATCGCACATAATGAAACCAAACAATAAAATAGAAATTGACCATCTTTGGAAGAGATTAATTACAAGGGCATTTTAGTCGCCACCTCAATGTGTCTGGGTAGATTAAACTAAAACATTTCTAAGTTACAACAACCTCACTCCTAGTTTGTCGATATTACAGGTGTTGTTGCAATACTTTCTTCCTGAAATCAGCTTCCCAACTATATGTCCTCTACAATTGTTTTGTGATAATCAGGCAACACTTCATATTATTGTTAATCATGAAATAGGACCAAACATACTGAGACTGACTGTCACTTTGATCATGATATAAGATACTAAGTGAGATACTGTGACGCCATTTATAAAGTCAGAAGATCAACTTGTTAATATATTTACTAAAGTGTTGAGTCGCACTTGTTTACCAGCCATTTTTTCTAAGCTCGGATTATATGACATATATTCACCACCTTCAAATAAATTGTTGGAATAAATTAGGGTTTGGTTTCATTGTAATAAATATACTCTATAGGGGTATATTGGTCTTGTTAGTCTTATTGCACAAATATATATATCAAGTGTGGAAGGCAGCCATTTCTCTTAGCCTAACACACATTCTCTCTGCTCTCTCTCTCTCTCTCTCTCTCATTCTCATGCTTTAACACATCTCATCCTAAGAAAAAATAGGAGTAATGCCACTAAACTGAGATAGAGTCCCTGAATACTCTACCATACAAGTCTGGGACACCACAATATTACCTCGGCCACCATTACTCCCACGAATTAGACGTCCATTCAACTTCCAACAAAACTTCCTGGTGTGTCTACTCTTGCCACGGTAATTACATTTAGCGCATTCTTGTCAAGAGACCTAGATTTGATAATTTTAGGTCACATTGGAGAATAATAGCTAAAGCAGATTACTCCTATAAATGGGAGCATGAACCACAACATTCACCGTGCTCTCCTGCTGTTGAACATGGGCATAGGCCAAACTTGTGAGGTGGGCAATGAACTACAACCAAAAATCAAAACCCCAATCTAATTATATTCCAAGTTGAGGCAATAAGATCATAAACATGTCATTTCTCCACCAACTGCTGAAACTTTGTTGCATTGCTAGCACAAACTGCCTGATTTGTTTTGGAAATAGTCATACTCCTGCCATGATGTGATCAACTCAACATAATATAATGCAAGGAACTTATCCAGCTGGTTGGTCTCACAAACTTTCTTTCGAAGGCCATATGCCTTGTGGTCATTGTCCTTTTGAGAGTATGTGTGAGATGAACAGTTCAAATCTTACGAGCAATATCAAGCAACAGAAATCACGAATGACTGGAGATTGCATTGAATTAAGCAACCAGGATACACCTAGGCATTCTTACATGTCAACTACTTATGGTAAGGACCCGGCTTACTGGGTATTGGGGTCTCTCTGCTCAAATACCCATCCAAAAAATAGCCTGATGACAAATAAGTGAAAATAATTGGTTACATCCAACTTCTCTATACTAACTGAAAAGAGGGTTGTTAAGATAGAAGCAAACCAAGCAGATGCAAAGTTGAAATTTTGATTTTTGAGCCCTTTCACTGCTACTTCAAAAATAGAAAAATAAGATCAAACATCTGCAGCAAATTTTTTATAAAAAAAATCCTCATAATTCTTGGTAGAAAAAGTTGCAAATCAAACCATGTATCTTTCAACCAAATCTAACCAAGTTGAAGCTAAAGCCAGCGGGTCAGATGCTGGCACCAATATACCGTGAAATAGGTTAGTCTTTTTTCCAATAGTTCCAATGAATCTTAATGCCTTAGGTTTCAATCGGTGATGTAATACCTAATTAGATTGTGAAATTCTAGGGTCAGAGGAAGAGTAAGAGGTTTGGGAGAGGAGAGAAAAGAGAATGACGAAAAATATTACGTAAAGGGTAATGTGTTATATCACACCATACGCCCCCAACCACATAAAAACATAGTTAATAATACAAAGTACTGATATAAACCATAAAAACAATGTAATATAACATAATAAACCAGAGAAACCAATAGCATGACAATGTGGGGATTCCATTTCCTGCATTTTACTTTGATTGACTGCATCAATGAAACAAAGTCTTTGCTCACAGTGAAGCCAACATCTACCAAAGACACGCAACATTTCTTGGCCACAGGAAAAGAAGATCCACTTCGCTTTAGTCATCGACAATGAGATTGAAAAAAAAGTGAAGGGTTGACGACATGAGTGTATGACACAGCTAGCCAAAGAGATTCTTGGTATAATGAAATTTTGTCACATAGGATAAGGCTGCTTGTAATAATGGTACTAGCAATGAGACATCTATCCCTATATGTTCATACATGATGAAGACAGTAATTAATAGTAGAAACGTAAAATATTTCATATGAAAGATTGGGAACTAACCTGTATAAGACGTTCTCGTAAAGCTGGGTTAGGATCTGTCAGCAGACGCTTTGCCACATATGGATAGGCAACCTAGTACACTGCTTGTTATTAATACACAAAAGGAAACATAAATAAATAAGATACATGGATAGCAATCAGAGTGGCTTAAGAAGTTGAAGAACACTTCTTTCAGACATGATGTGAAACTTAATGCCCTTAACTCATTAACTGGGCAGATGATTAGTAATGGCAGTTAGGGTATGGTCGACTCATCAACAAGTAAGACTTCTGGGCATGCATATGAATGCAACCATTTGCCATGAGCTAAATTATAATCATTGACTATTGTTTTTGACTATGTTCTGAAATGCCTATGGAAAAAGTTTCATGACGATTATGTAAAATGCTTTTCTAAAATTCAGACTTCTCTAGCTCAGGTTTTTATGAGCTCAAAGTCTGACTGGAATCAAGCTGATCCGTGCTCATGACAATTTCCGCTAGTCAAGCCTAAGTTTCACAACTTGAGCTTGCCAAGAGAGTAAAACTTCATATAAGGAATACTTTTATTACATTGGGTAGGTGCATTTGTTTGTGTTGTGTCCATAATTCTGTGCATCTCTGCAAATTAATTGAGGAGTTGAAATTAACTAAATAAGTTTTATGAACAGCATTCAGTGTATGACCAGTATGGTGAACATCAGGTAAACAAGATCCACATCCATGATGTCATTTGTTCCTTTTTAATTCATTTCCATAATTCTGTTGCACTTATTTAACTTGACACATTTATACAACTAAAACAGTGAAAATTGAAAGGTTGTCTGTTACCACTGTGACCCATAATTACTTGTAATGGTGATGATACCTTATGTTTAGAAACTAATTATGTGAAGTTGAACTTAACCAAAAGGCCTAAAAGCCTAAAAATGCTTTCATGTAGTTTACATCACTTATCGAGTACCATGTACAAAACAATTGAAAAGAATAAGGTTAAAAAAAAAGACACTTCTTTTTTTTGGAAAGTCGGATAAAAAAGCACAAAACAAAATTCACCTCAAGAAATTTGAAATCTGGCTCCAATGTGAAACAGATGCCTTCTTGAGTCAGTAATGAACGGATAACAAGAGAAAACCTTTCGGGAATGCGGATGGGAAAATTATAAACCAGTTGATTGAATTTGCCTGAAACATATGAAACATAGATTTTAGTTGGATACTCCTTAAATGGTAAGCCCTAAAACAGTATAAAGAAATGTGAGATGGTACAATTATAACGTTAAGAAAAAGTTCCACTAAAACCATCAATAATTGTAAAGTAAGGATATATTCATAATATGATTGTCTAAATTACTAATGCCACTAACAAATCTTGACAGTACAAAATGTCAAATCTTTCATAATTGTATCCCTCTACAGAGTCGGTCCTACGCCTCAAAGAAGGAGGGATGCATTAGATAAATAAACATATAAATATCTCATGTTAATACATACATTACAAACACTAGTTCTTAGAAGAAAATTACGATAAAAATCTGCAGTAGAATTTTCTGCATACTTATGAGTACAACAGGGATATAAATCATTGTAGATCTTAAAATGAACAGTTAGCATCTGAAATTATAAGAAAAGAGTAACATCAACAAATAGTAGGCTCCAAATGCATTTAATTAGGTGTATTAAGAATGTCAATTACTGAGAACAGGTATTGTTGCATAGATGGTGTGATTGTCGATCCGACAACCCAAAGATTAATAATAGCTAACGAGCTTCATTGTGGCTGCTGTAAAATGAACTTAAAACAACCATACAGAACAACAATAGAAGGGAACTGATGCAGGGGATGGCTTACATGGGATTGGGTACGCATTATGTGAAGGCATCTTTTTTGTCTATTCCATCATCTTAGGACACATGGATATGTTTACATTGCTAAAGTATCAAAAATTTCTTCTACATTCTGGACACAAATTTTTCAGCAACATATAATTATCGACATTTATAATCAAATTTAACATTATAATTGGATTTTGTACCTATTAAGAGTATTGGAATATTGTGTGTAAATATTAGAGGGTATATATGTCTTTTGAATTATTACAAGTTAACTATAAATACAAAGTGTTTTGTAAGAGGCAAGTTAAGTTTTGACCACTCTGTTTCTCTCTAATATTGTGTTAATCTTCTTCACTTAACATGGTATCAGAGCGATTATGATCCTAAATATATTCTGAATAAACTATTAACTCTGTTCGTGGTGGTGCGCTACTGTCGTCGAAGCCATTGTGGTGGTGGTGGTATTGTTGTTGTGGTGGTGTTGTCATTCGTGGTGGCGGTGTGGTACTGTTATTGTGGTGGTCTCTGTCATTCATCTTCGTGTGGCGCCATCGTTTGTTGTCGTTGTGTTTCAGTCGTTCGTCTTGGTGGTGTGTTGCAGTCGTTCGTTGTGGTGGTGTGGCGCCGTCGTTGTCGTCGTGGTGTAGCTATGGTGGTGTGCTACTGTCATTCGTCGTCGTGGTGTGGCGCCATCAAAGACCAAGTTCTACTGGAACCCTAATCAACGAAGAAGAAAAGGTCTAGACCCGACTCCACATGTTTGGATAAAAGACCAGATCTCACACCCGAGTCCACGGACTTAAATGTTTTAAGTCCAACCCAAGAACCAAACCTGATCCAGCCCACTTCAGTCTTCGGTCCAAATCAGAAACTATTGATATTGTTGGGTAGCAGACCGATTGATATTTTTATGGATCCGAATCAGAAATTATTAATGGATGATGGATGGTGCACTATTGAAAATTCAGGTCGGTATCGCAGATTGGTTGGGAAGCTCAATTATCTCACTATTATTCGGCCGGATATTTCCTATGAAGTCAGTGTAGTAAGTCAGTTTATGTGGTGTCATTGAGTACCACATTGGGATGCAGTTACTCGTATTATGCGATATCTTAAACGTGCTCATAGACTTTGACTATTATATCAAACTAATGAACATCTTAGAGTGGAAGGTTTCTCAGATGCTGATTAGGCCGATTCTTCTTCTAATCAGAGATCAACCACTAGTTATTACATTTTCTTAGGAGGTAACGTTGTCTCATGGAAAAGTAAGAAAAAATCTGTGGTAGTAAAATCTAGTGTTGAGCTTGAGTATAGGGCAATGACGCATACAACGAGTGAGTTGACTTAGCTATTACACTTCCTCCAGGGAATTGGATTTGTGGTTCAACCTCCTTTAAAATTGTTATGTGACAACCAGACAGCTATTCATATCGCTGTCAATCCAGTGTTTCACGAGATAACCAAACATATTGAAGTTAATTATCACTTTATTCGAGACAAGATAATGGCTGAGGAGATTATGACTCTATTTGTGAAATCTGAAGATCTGCTTGCAAATTTGTTTACAAAAGTATTGAGTCGTACACGTCTCACAACAATTTGTTCCAAACTTAGATTATATGATATATATAGTCCAGCTTAAGGGGGAGTGTTAAGAGTATTATGGTAGTATGTGTAAATTGTTAAGAGTATTAGGGTGTTATGTGTAAATATAAGAGGGTGTATTTGTCTCTTTCTGATTATTGTAAGTCAACTATAAATACAAGTGATGTATGAAAGGTAGGGTTAAGTTTTGACCACTCTCTGTTTCTCTCTAATATTATGTTAAGCCTTTCAACTTAACTATAACTAGAATCATCTTTAAAACGATGGTAAGAAATCTAATGACAACATATCTAGAAATCCTTTGAACTTCCAAGCTAATGTAAAGAATGCCATTAATTATGACATGAAGGAGCAAGAACAGAAATGCATTTTGGTAACAAACAGAGGGCATGAAGTTCACCTGTAACACTTCTGAAATTGAAGTCAGAGAGTCCCTTTTCAAGAGAATTCTGCCAAATTGCTTCCAAAGCTGGAATGATGGGGGAAACATCAGTCCCACTAGCAAGGAAACCAAGCCGCGTAAAATCATTTGCCATCTCAGCATAATCCTCATTTACAGCATGAACAACAGCATCAATCAAAATCTGTTTATTTTGCTGAAAAAGGAATAACAGAAATATTTAAGCTGTTCCCTTGAAGATCGCTGCCAGCAGAAACACACTGTGCACAGAAACTTGGGGAATAATAGACAAATATTAAGAACAATTGTAGATTTCCAAGAACACGAGAGAACCTCTCTAAATAGTTTGGTGGCACATTTTTCAGGGTGAAGGGGCTTGCAATCATGACTATAGTTACTATATACATAAATCACAGAGATGAAGCAAATTTCCACAGATTAATCGTATTTGCACCTGACACATGTTGGATAATAACTCCATTAGAAATGAGTCAGATGCTTGTTCAATTTATCCTTGATTTGGACATAAAATTTCAGAATTTGGACACCGGGAAGAACCTTTTTGGAAATTCACCAAAACATAACCCACGTGACATGGACATTTTTTCTAATTTAGACAAGTTTAGAAACAAAGGGCACACAACTTGAATGTTTCCAGTTTTCCTTGAAAAATCTGACATCATCACATGCATATCTAAAATGAAGATGCTTTACTTGCCTTTAAAACAAAAGTTGAGCCACAATGGACCTTTTCTTAATACCCGAAGAGCATGTTTGGTTTAGGCATTAGGAATGACCAGATTGGACAAACCTGTTCATTCCATACCCATCCATCTAGACCTTGGACTAATTATAGTGATAATGCCTCCTCATATCATGTTTGATTCAAGTATTAAAAAGTTGTGGGCCCCACATTTATCCCATCTAATACTTTGTTTGGATAGAATATTGAATGATGATATAAATATTAAATTACTAAAAAATCCTCAAAATAAAGAATAATATTTATATCTTAGAAATTCTTGAGGGTAGAAATGTTTTTTGCCTAAATACATCACAACCGGATTATTTAAACTCATTTAAGAAGCTATAGGTGGTATTAAATACACTATTCATCCTGGCCAGCACTATTTCTAGGTGATAATATCAGGGCCAAATGTGTATCCAAACACAGGTATAAGAGGGATAAGGTGGGCCTAATATTATTTTTTTCAATCCTTCTTTCCTAATACCTATAGCAAACACACCGAAAAGGTAAAAGGATTATAAAAGTAACTACCTTGTCATATACAAAATACAATTGTGTGTGACCTTTCTTGCGGTTATGCTCCACATTATTCATGTGTTCATATGATCAGAACATATTCCTTTCTTTCATAGTTCTACAATTTCCTACATTGGTATTTTGTCATGTCAATGTCTTATGTCTGTTCTGTAGCACTTAAGAGCTATTTAGATTCTGATAATGTCTAGAATGAGAAAAATTTGAATTTGAAAGCACTTGTTCAAACTAATTGTAATTAATTTATATATACATATATATATAATTTCTATATATTCCCTTCACCTATATCAGTGCATGTGGACAAGACTGTGAAGGATGTAATGCATCAAGGGTTTTTTTTCTACTCTAAGGATCTACAATACAGTTTTCTTGAAACACAAGCTTTTTCAGATCTCATGGAGTCCTTCTGCCCTAATAACTCTTCGGAGAAGAGTTTTTTTTTTAACTGGAGAGAATTGATAAAGATCGAAGAGGAATGTGTCATTTTCAAGATTATTTCCTCGATTATTTCGTCTTCCTCATTATCATGGTCATAATATTGTCTCACACACTAATTTCTTGAGATTTGGATATTGTAGAAACTTAAATGATAGGGAGGCTTTGGAGTTGGTGTCGCTTCTTTCTTTAATTAGTTCATTTACTTGGAACCATGATGTTATGGATAGAAGATGTTGGGTCATTGACTCAATGGGGTTATTCTCATGTAAGTTTTTTTTTTTGATTTGTTGATTGATGATCCCTCAATTCATTTTTTCATTCCTTCATTGAAGATTTCGATGGCTAAGGTGCCATTCAAAGTGCAAGTATGTGCATGGGTAATTGCTCATTGTAAGCTTAATACTTGTGTTATGTTATAGAGAAGGAGACCTTCTATTTGTTTATCCCCATATTAATGTGTTATGTGTAGAGGAAATAGCGAAAGTATGGATCATTTATTCCCTTTTTGTTCCAATATGGATCATTTATTCCTTTGTTGTTCCATTGCATTCTCATTGTGGAATAAATTAATATTTATTTTAGTTATATTATAATATTTAGGGAGTATTTGTTTGATTAGAATTGTTGAATAGTGAGAGTTAGAGTTTGGCTAGAAAATTGTTATTGTAAAACTCAGGTAAAATTGAACTTTTCACAAAAGGGGCAAAAACGGTAATTTGTCGTTTCGGTACGGGTTATAAACCTGAATTTTTCTAGAACTCGGATGACGAAACAAACCTCACTGTTAGATTCGTCTTACGAAATCTAACTGCCCTATCAAATTTTATCGAATTCCGAAATAGTCAAATTTTTTGCGTTTTACGAGACAGTCGAGTCTCGGGTGACCTAAAAACGAAATTTTTAATAAAATTTTAAATGTTGAAAAATAATTTAAGCAAGTTAAAATAAAAATATTTTGAACTTGAACCGGGGTGAAATTTTAATCGTTTCGGGACAAAAACGGACCCGGAAAAAAAAGGACGTGTGGTGCGTTGTGGGCCAAGTGTTTTGAGGGTATAAAAAGGGGAGAAATCTGAGATTTCTTCCCATTCTTCAGCCAGTTTTAACGTGAGAAAAGAAGAGAGGAAAAAAGAGAAAGTTTTTCACTTCTCTCTACGATCTACGGAATTCTAGAGGACAAATCCACTCGGGTCAAGAAGAAAAATTGTTCTCCTCGACGTGGGCTACAAAACCATACCAAGGAGGTCGGGTTTGGGCGAGATCCCAAGGACGGAATTTTTGGAAAATGAAGATTCTAGCTTGAATCAGGTTCTTGGAGCTTCCCAACGTGTTTTTACGCTTCAAGAGGTAAGGTTCCCTCTTACTCCTACCTAAGTTTATTTTTTAACCTAGGGTGTTCGTATGGAATGGGTAGATATATAATTATATATATCACTTACTTATTGTTATGGAAATGAGAAAATGGGTATAGAATGGTTTAAAATAAATTCCCAACTTGGAATTTATATGTGAAAATTACTTGTGTAATTCTATGAATTTGGTATTATGTGGGCATGCTATATGTTTATATTATGCATTGTCTATAATGTATGTTATTGACATAGATTGTGTAATAACATGCTTGTGAATTATTGTTGATGCATGTTAATATATTAGCATCATGATAAATTGTGGTAATTATATGCTTAAGATATATATTGTCACGAGATATGTTAATGTGTAGTTAAATTGCTCATTTGGCATTCATTGCATTTTGGTATAAAGTTGGCATCACATTCATGGGCATTATGCATGAGTGTGGGTGTGTGAGTACATGGTTTAATCAAACACCACACTTTGTGGTTGATGGGTAGGCTTGAAAATGTTGGATTGAATATCCGACTAAGTCGCACGTTGCATGAAAAATTTGTGTAAGTTATAGCAAGAAAGGCTAGACACGTTCTCGGGTGCAAGACCCGACTACTTGGTTCATACACTTCCCTGATGTGTAATTTTAGAAAAGTGTAACGGTGTGCAGAACCGGCAGTGAGACTCCGAGAATTCGAATACCCAAATAAAGGCACATGAACTTATTTATAAAATAGTCATTCGGTGTGAAACATCAATAACGGGGGCTTGGAATGCCCTAAATGTTTCATACATGTAGCATTGCAAGGTGTGAAGGGAGCCAAGAAGACTCGGGGTATACTGCATGAGTGAGTCTCATCTCACTTCATGGCATGATATGATAGAATTCTAACATAGAATTGCATATAATAAATTGAAATGGATGATGCTTCTTAATTGTGCATGTGCACATTGCATATACATCTAGGTTGGGGGAGTAGCCTCTATAGGAGATACTCTATTGAGCACATATGAAAAAACATTTCATGTGCGGGGGATACACACCGGCGGATGACGCTCATTTGAGGCCTCGAGAATAAAGGGAAGCCAACTTGTGGCCTTTACTCCATATGTTATAAAACATTGTGAAAATTTATGTTTTTGGTATGTAATCGTATGTAAATGATTGCTAAAGAACTTGTATCAACTATGTTTAAAGTGCAAATATAGTGTTATATGAGTTTGAGTAGGTTTTGGATGGAAATAATACGTTTTGAAATTGTTATAATAGAACTTGTGCATATTAGGTTTTATGTGAAAAACCTTATTAAGCATGTTTTGAATGGTGGTGGAAGGGATTGAAATGGATTGGAAATTGACAACAGGTGAAACTAGCAAAACTGGACATAGCATACTGGTACAGCCTACCAATACAACTTTGTCCAGTAGGCAAACCCTACCGGTAGGAATTTGTCCATTAAGCTCACCCTACCGGTAGGCTTTCCAAAAATCTGAAATTTAAAACTGTTTTGTCATACTCCTGGGCTATATGTCCTTCCTTCCAAATGATGTAAATGGACTATAATAGAATATGAAATGTGGTACATTGGACCACAATTTGATTAAATGGTAAAATGTACACGGGTTACACGTGTGAGTGATGATCCCGGTTAAGGGGATGCTATTGATATGATGTCGGGTTGTGCGACGATCACGGGTACTTTCACGAATTGATCGGTGGTAAACGGTTGAAAAAAGACCCCAATTTTAGGGGTGTCACAGTTATAGAGATTCAGTATGAGAGTAATTTGAGAGTTTAATTTTGAAATTCTTTTAGAATTTTAATAGGAGAATAATTCTTATTTTGGTAGGACACTTATCCTATAAATATGAATGTCAGCCCTACTATTTTTTTTCGAGAGAGTGATAGTAATAAAAGTATTTCTCCACTGAGAATTCGTGTTTCTTGATCGATTCCTTGTAAGGATGAAGTAAATCCCTTTCATCTCTTCTTATTTTTTTTCCTCTTTTTATTTTCTAATTCCAGCTTCTTTTCGCATTGCATCATGTGTCCAGCACAAAATATTATATTGCAAATCTACCTATTGTCATATATTATTGATTTTACCCAATGCTTGTTAGAAAAAAATGATTTTAAATAAGTATATTTTAGCAACTTAAGGCTTAAATAAAAGTGGAACCCACACCTCAAAATTGGTGGGACCAAGTTTAAACGCGTTCTCCTCTGTGAGGAGATAAACGTCGTATATTTATTTGCTTAAAACCATTAAGTATTGAATAAGAAATTATATTTTAAACTAACTCATTTGAAGTGATGAAATAAACTAAAATTAGTGCAGTGGAATAACGCTTATCCTACATTAGAAGAAAACCAACACTTTAGTGAATTAATATACTCCTAACTGGCTTCATTGGTTAGGCCCCAAGAGGTACCACACTTTTGTGAGCGGAGCAAATGCCTACAATACCCTGGTTACCACACACACGCACGTGCCGCCCACCTCGCCATGACCCGACCCGGTCGGACTTGGGTTTGGATAAAAAAAATATAATATTTTTGCACAAAAATTATTTGGTGCAATGCGGGTTACAAATTAAACCAAACGAATCCAAACACTGAAATTTAAAATCCAACTGAATTTTTAAATTTCCTTCTGTTAAAATTGAATTTGGCGTCTAGCCTATGTCTATTCTCCAGAGGTGCCTTCTCCTTTTCATTGTTGTTCAGAATTAAAGGTATGTCTCTTTGATCCGAATCGGTTCAACGAGAAGAGGTGTCTTATGCCTCTTCAGGCGATCCAAACAAGCATGAAGGGTCTATAATAGACTGCCTCATTGCCATTTTTAATCCATCCCAATTTTGAATTCTGATTTCAGAGTTTCTTCTCTCTCTCTTTGCAAATTGTTGCATTACTTTCTTCTTCGATTCAAATATAAACACAGAATTGTGTTTACTGGAGTTCTGAAGATTGAAGTGTTACTTCTTAGAAACAAAATTTATTCTATCTTGTGAGATAGTTGTTTATCAACTTTAAGCATCGAGAGGGAACAAATCTGTCTTAAGAAAATTGTAATTACACTGGGTTCGAATTATTATTATTTTTTGATTTTCTGGATTTTATTTGTGCAGTTCTGCGTCACTGTAAATGCATTACAGTTTCTATTTTGACATTCTGTTTTTATTAAAATAGTTCACATATACTAGTATACTTAGTGATTTAGATTTTGATACAGTAATTAGTGATTAATCCTAATTATATACATATTTTGGTTAACAACACTTTGGTAAAGGTCAGCATAACTGAGTTTTGTTATAAAAGTAGATGGGATCTCAACATAAAGAAAAATAAACTAATTTTAACAAAATTTTAACAAAGATACAAGGGTCTGCAATAAAGTAAAAACTTACATATATACTAGGGTCTACATCAAAGTAAAAACTTATATATTTCTAATCTTTTCCATTTGGTACTCTATCGATATTGATAAGAATTGATAATTTATGTTGCAAAAGTGAAAAAAATTACTTCAATCAAGAATAAATTTCGAGCAAAGTTGTAGTCTTATTAGCACTTTAGAATGCGAACTAGATAAGGCTCCACATATTATCTTAAAAGAATAAAAAAAAACTAAAAAAACAATGAGGAAGAAGAAAAAGAGTGAACATATTGGTTAAATATTTTTTACCTGACTTAGCACAGCGACATTGCCAAAATCTACATATGCTATACGCCCATCCCGCATAGCAAAGATATTTCCAGGGTGTGGATCACCATGAAATAACCCAAATTCAAGTAACTGACGCAAAGCAGCACTCACTCCAACAGTCAAAAATCCATCTACATCAAGGCCTTCTGCCTTAATAGCCTAAGGTACAGAAAGGAGGACATATCAACATAAGAGGCTGTATCTCACAACTTGCATTTATAAAAACATATAAAATGCAAACCTGTGGGTCAGTGCAACGTATTCCATCAATCCATTCCATTACCAAAACACGTGAACCAGAAAGATTTCTGTAAACCCGAGGTATCTTAACAGTAGGGTCATCTTTGAAGTTCTCCAAAAAATCTTCAATATTACGAGCTTCCTGAGTTAAAAAAAATGACAGAGGTGACAATGCATAAAACCATAATCATGAATAACTAGTTTAAGTTTCATTGTGGTGGAAGTGGCTATCATAACTGCATTTAGATAAATGTCAAGCCTCCATAATGATTAAAATTTAAAGCTCCTAAGCAATGTGGTCTACATCCGAACTCTATCTTTCCTGGATATATGTGAATAATTTTTTTGGCACAGGCAGATAACAGTTTTGGAATATTACTAAGGTATAATCAAGCTCCTCCAGAAGTTTCTCGCCAAACTCATCAACTAGAAGCTCTGCATTGCATCCCAGTTTCTGTAGGCTGAAGCCATTCAAGAATGAAGCAAGAGTACGGAAAAGAAAAAGATCTCGATAGATAATAGGCTCTATCCCTGGCCTTTGCACCTGCAGGTACAGGAAATCGTGTTTCCATTTCAGCATATATTTACTTATTGCATATTTTGAAGAAAATTATACTTTGAGTTCACCACAAAACCAATACTAAATTTCAACTGGAAAAAATAGAAGCATCAAATATCATACTGCCAAAAAATGAGAGATAATTTAAAAGATATGAAGAGAACAAATGAGGATAAAGAAACACAGTGCATGTATTAAATATTTAAATTTAAAAATAACAACGAAGCATATGTACTGGTTACACTGCTAGAGCTTGTCCCATATCAATAAAATAACACCTAAAACTATTATATGAATGTTGCAGACCTATCCACTCATTGTCAATAAATTTTTAATTTGATGCTTTAGCTTAGTATTAGAGCTAGTGTCACAAGATACGTCTCTATTTGCAATTTTTTTCACATTGAAGGCAGTCAGTGAAGGCATTGCCTCAGCAACCAGCAACTCAAACTCGTAACAGGGCACACGCACGCGCACAAGTAACACACAATGTATAGGAAAAATACTTCACAACCTTATATAATTGTTCAAATAATACAAGGAACTAAAAATTTGGCCAAGGACTCTGCCTACGGATTGTCTCAGCATTCCCTATTTATACAAGGAATATGATAGTTGACACTCCCAACTGCCTAGGGTTTACTAGCCCACTAACCAATCAGTTGCATGGGCATCACAGTGTCCAGCTACAACTATCATCTTTGGCTGCATCTCTGCTTGACAGGTGGTTGGCTATTCCTAAGGCTAGTCAAAAAATCCAATGACCCGAATCGAAACCAACCGAACCAAAAGCAAATGGATGGGTTTAAATGGAACCGGTTCAGTTTACAGAAGTAAATTATAAATACCTGAAGTTTTCGGTTCGGTTAATGGGTGGGTTGATGCTGAAACCTGATGTACCTGAACCGCCCGCCTTCTCCACATATATTATGAAACATATATTTGTCCTTAAACAAAACCATAAATCTAAAGGCTGGAAAGCCCTAACCATTTCAGATCTGAACACTCTCTCCTCTCTCTAGAAGCTCCGTCATTCCTCTCTCTTCTTACTAAAACCAGATCTCATCTTCTACACCCACCAAATCTCATCATCTTCTTCGTATAGCAGATCATGTTAGCAAAGTTCGACTAGTATTCTCTATTTCCAACCAAAAGCAAGCCTAAAGACAACATCCTCTCAACTTCTTCGACTGCTATATTTCTCAGTTCTCATTTAATCTTTTTCTCTCTGCAAATTTTAATTCCTTTCTTGTTTTGCACTCTAAAACATATACATTTATCACTGATTCAGCAGTCATCTATTTTTTATTTTTTTTGGATTTTGGTTTGTAAAAATGTTTAAAATATACACCTTTTTACAACTTTATCAACCAAAAGAAAGTTTGTTTTATAAGAAAGTTAAATACACCTAATTTAAAATGTCACTGTTTGTTCTCTTCTTTTGGATCTAATTCGTGCATGTTTTAAGTTTTTGAATATGAATTTTTTTTGTTGGATCTAATTTGTGCATATTTTAATTTGTTGAACCTCAATCTTTTGTATATATTTGACTCGTATATGTTTTAAGTTGTTGATTCTAAATCTCTTTTTTTTTAATCTAATTTGTGCATGTTTCAATTTATTGAATCTAAATTTTTGAGCTTAGATGGAGGAGACTAGAACTCTGACTAATGCTATACCAAAAATGGATGAACCTATGGAAACACAGAAGGCTGAATCAAAAAATGAAAAAACATGCAAAAAGACTTCAGAAGTGTGGGGTCATTTCACTTTAATAGAGAAGAAAAAAGACCAAGTTTGCAACGCAAAGAGCAATTATTGCACGAAGATTTTTAACTAGGATTCTAAGAAATATGGTACATCATCCCTTAAATTTCATATTAACAATGGCTACCCAAAATTTCCTGGCAGGACTATGGATAAAAGTCCGTCGTTCTTAAGCTTTGAGAAAAAACAAGGAAATTTAGGTCCTAGTAATGTCATGGTGAATAAATTTGATCGGGAAACTTCAAGAATAACACTTGCTGAAATGAATATTACGGATGAGATGTCTTTTCGAGATGTGGAAGCTCATGTGTTTAGAAGGTTTTGTAAGACACTAGAGTCAAAGTTTCAAGTTCCATCTTGCACAACTGTTGCTAGAGATTGCATCAAACTTTATCAAAATGAAAGGGATAAATTAAAGAAAATCCTTGGGTCCTCAACTAATAGGTTTTTTTTTTAACAACTGCTATATAGACTTCAATTTAAAACCTTAACTATATGTGTCTTACTGGTCACTTCAACGATGATAATTGGAAGTTAAACAAAAAAATTATAAACTTTTGTTTAATTCCTAATCATAGAGGGGACATAACTAGAAAACAATTGGAGGCTTGTTTACTTCACTGGGTATTGATTGGATTTGTACAATTCCAGTTAATAATGCTACCTCAAATGATGTTGCTATAGATTATTTAAGGAGACACGTCAAGGGTAATATCTTAGGAGGTGAGTGTCTTAACATGAGGTGTTGTGCACACATCTTGAACCTAGTCGTGACTGAGGGCTTAAAAGAACATAACGATTCAATCATAAGGGTTCATAATGTTGCGAGGTATGTTAGGTCTTCTCATGCAAGGATATAAAATTTTAAGAGATGGATGGAAAAAGAAAGGATTGATAGTTAGACTTTGGTGTGTCTTGATGTTTCAACTAAATGGAACTCTACTTATCTCATGCTTAAGGCTGCATAAAAATATCAAAAGACCTTTCAAATGATTGAGGATGATGATGGATAATATGTTCCTTACTTCGCCAAAGGTACATTAGGATTGCTGGGTATTGTTGACCGGGAGAATGTGAGGCTTCTTGTTAAGTTTCTAAAGATTTTCTATGTTTCTACTTTGTGAATTTCTGGTTCCTTGTATGTTACATGCAATTTACTTTTTCAAGAGCAATGTATTGTTTAGACTAATTTATCCAAACTATGTGAGAGTAATGACCCTCTCTTGAATGTCATTGCATTGAGTATGATGAAGAAGTATGATAAATATTGGGGAAAAGTTGAAAATATAAACTTAATAATATTTGTTAGTGTTTTAGTAGATCTATGATGCAAGTTGGGTGCATTATCATTTTAGTTCAAACAAAACTTTGATGAGAAAACTAATGAGGCAGATGAAATGGTGGAAAAAGTAAGACATTTGTTGATGTGGTTATATGATGAGTATGCATTAGTTTTATACATAGTTGTCAAATTGCGTATCGGAAGGCGAATCGTTTTTCAAAAATAGTATATCGTATCGTATCATGTATAGTGTATCGTAAAATGCGCGTAATTTTAATTTTTAATAATTATTAATAATATATATATATATCTTCGTAAAAAATTCATAGACTCATAATAATATAGAATTTCATTAATATTCCACCAACTATCCAAGTTTTCAACATACTTCAGTAATATCAAAATGCAAAGACCTCTAATTCAAACTTTTAACATCAACTACTTAAACAACTTTAATATTAATTCGGAATTTTGAATTCAATTGAACAACATTAAAAAAAGACTTTATTTTATTTTTTTTAAAACCATAACCACTAAAACGACGTTATTTCACTGACTAGAGATTTAAAAATAAGTTTTAAGGTAAAATAATGTCATTTTAGTCCCAAAAAAAAAAAACAAAAAAAAATCGTCACGTATCTTACGCATTGGATGTATCATATCGTATCGTGTATCGTTCGATACGGTGCAAAAATAATACAGAGACACGATACATATCAATTTTCAGGTATATTGTGACGTATCGTACGATACATATCACATTTCGTACGATACTAATAACTATGGTTTTATATCCACAGTTTTTACTGAATCTATGTTTAGTACAAAGGGATGTGTACTAGATCTATTTCGAAGTTCATTATCCTCAAAAAATGGTTGAGGCCATTATTTGTGTAAAAAATTGGTTAAAGGGTCTAATTCCTGTTGATGGCCAAGATGCAATGGATTACATTGAAAGCATTGAATTTGATTCATGTAACATATATATATATATATTAGCTTCATTATTACCATGTCTTTATTCTTATAGTAGAATGTTTGATCTATAATCAAAACTTCTTTATTTTTGACTTCATAAATAGATGAGAGTGCAACACATGCTAATGTTATTGATGACTGAATTTAGCGACTGTTATGGTAAAAATCATTATACTCTTTGGTATGTTTTTAAGCATTTTGGTATGTTCTTATAGTTTAAGCATTTTGGTGAGAATCATGCTGGTGTTTGTAAATGTTATCTCTATTTGATACTTACTGGTTATACAATTTTGGAAGGTTGGCTGTTGATTTTTGAATCCTGCCTACTGATTTTTGGAATGGTGAACCACTGTTGATTTTTGGAATGGAATGGTGCATCACTACTGATTTTCGGAATGGCTAACTTTTGTTTATGATTACTTTTGTTTAGAAAACATTATGCTAGGTGGTGTATAACTTTAATTGCTCAACGGTTTACCACTTTTGGTTGTTTTAACAATACAATTGTTTTTGAAGCAAACTTGCAAAATTGCTACAGATTTGTTAGGTTAATTTTAATAGTTGATATGTATTTCTTAGTGCTCTAAATAGGTTGTTTAAGGATTGACTATGTTCCATGCCTTGTTTGATTTTCTTTTTATTGTTTTTATATTTTTCTAGTTCTAGTTGCTTCAGTTACAGACTTGCGTGTTATAAAAAGTGGAGGCACAACAAGAAAAATATAGAAAAAAAAAAAAAACAAATGGGTTTGGACCTATAAATGATGAAAATATGGGCCAAGTGGTATACAAAACAAAAAATGAATTTGGGCCAAAAAATAGTGATTTTTTTATCAATTTAGTCCTCTAAATTTGTTGTGCAAATCAATTGGGCTTTGGCTGAAGCAAATTTTAGATCTTGCCAAATAGGACTCAAGCCCACTCGATGACCGAACCGAAAACCAACCAACATATAGGAGCGGTTCTCGTTTTGGTTGTTCATTTGATAGGTTTGGTACGGTTTATTATTCTCACTTCCGGCATCTTTTGGTTCGACGTAAAAAAATCGATACTTTCAACGCTACTGGTCGGGTAAACACCAGCTTTTCTTTCCATTCAGCACCTGCACTTGACTTGATAACCGCCCACAACTATTCGCACATGATTAGATAATGCCCATAATCACCCGCAACTACTTCCCATGATCAAGCCATGCACATCAACCACTCCCAACCGCCTTGCTCTATGCATTCAGCAAACCTGTCCCAGCCACATGTCTGCAAATCCACAGTCAAGCCTTGCCCACGAATCAATCAAGCATGGTGAGTCAAACCCAAGTCATGGATTACAAAGTCATGCACCAACATTTCCTCAATTGTGCCCATCACGTGCTGCCATCCTCACCGTGTGGTCTTTTGTAGCTACATGACCCACAACTTTTTCAGTCCCACCATTATCTTGTGTTCCTCTTATCTGCCATGCCTCACACGTGACAAGGACCTTGTTACTTGCCTTGCCCAACGGTGCCAAGACTTGGGAGCACAAGGTTTGTTGGGCCCTTTGCATCCCTCAACTATCTCCACTCCGATATATATTCTCTAAGCAGGTTTTTCAAAGTGACATGAACGGACATCAGCTAAACCGAGGAAGCATAATGTCTAGTGCCTTTTGTTAAACACCTTAGCTACATCACCTTGATTCAAAGT